ACTTCGCCTAGTACATTTTCCAAACACAACAAAACAGCAATTCCACTCTAAGTGTTAAGTCTGTTCGGTGGAGTTGCAGCAAAGTATTCCCTCAGACGTACAAAAATTCCACTCTCAATGTGGTTGGTTTGTGGCCTTTTCCTTCGTTCAGCACTTAATACGTTGTGGCCACTGACTCAGAAGGACGACCAGGCAAGGCTGCTTAAGCGACACTTAAAAAAGGGGACAACTGTGCAACACCGTTTAGGCTAATACCAGAATTCCCCTCCCGGCACTTCGGCACAATAAAGGCACAACTTATCAGCAAGGACTTAAGTAGATACAATTATGCAGAATTGGGAAGAAGTGGACGGTGTAATGCAAGGGTCTTTAATTTCTCATTTGACCCTTATTTGACTGTCAGAATGATTTTGCCTAGCATTGAGTTCTTACTTTAGCCTGCAAAGTGTCTTTAAACTCCACCAGCTATTTCTACAAGCTTTTCAGAGTTCAGTTCTGATGCTCTCATATAAAGTGGTTAAAGAGGATGTCAAAAGGCACTGCATTAAATATTGTCAACCATTGGGCAGTGGTGGCGGTCTGCATTTGGCTGATTTAAGGTGATTGAAGTGGTAATTTTCGAAAGAAAGGCAAATAAATTGTAACTACCAAAATTTTTTGATATTACTAGCTAGATCTTCCGATAGGAAATTAAATGTCAACCCGAGAAATATTTCTCCCAAATCCATTGGCCTTATTTTATTGCCGTTTCTCAACCTTAGCAGCAAAATTTGCATTAAAGTTCTAGTCGCTGTTGATTTTCATCTCAAATTTTCTCTCACCTTACCAACCAAAACAACTTTTTGTCCATCTACCCTCCCTTGAATAACTTTGACACTACTTCTAGAACTTGGATTGTTTAATCCAGGCTATGTGTGCAGTTACGACAAACCCTAAAATCGGTCTAAAATAGTTGCTCATTACGCAACACTGACTCGGTTCTCAGGTCCTGGAGACATCACAATACTGGGCCCAAAAGCGCACTGCCAAGATGAGGAAGAGCTGCCTCACAGGTTTGACTGTTCAATGGAAGGTCAGCAGCAAAGTCATAGGAGATCCCAAAATCAAGCCAAAGATCAGCAAATAGGAAACAAATATTGGTGTCTCATGCTTTTTAAACTCCGAATCGCCTTTTTCTCGCCATTCAAAATGTGTCAAATCTGGATTTTCCGCAACCTAGGAGCGTAAGAATCGCAACAGGGCAAAATTTGGTTGAATGTAGAAGAACATAGTTACTATAGCGTAACCGTAAACTGAGCCGATCGCAAGTTATTTAAAGTATTACCTTTGCATTTAAGAAACGAATCGGGACTTGATAAGTGGATTTCAAATTAGCAAACGCCTCTCCTCTAAGTGGAAATGGTTATGGTTTCGTGAAAGGGACGCAGATAACTTCAAATTAAAGCACACAGTATTTGTGAAGAAGTCGCGGATAAGACTTGATACCGAGCACTCATTATGATTCAGATGCGTCCGTATGGATGTCTCACTTTACCTTCCTACCGGTTTCAGGAAATTACTTTTACATAAAACGCTTCTGCGAAATTTGGCTTTGTTGCGTGAAATCCTAAGGACTTAACAGATGAGAGTTTTGATATTCGTTGAAATAAGTTTACTGCGCAGTTTGACTTTGTTAAAAGGAGCATTGGGCTGGAGAAGTTGCTCAGACATCCAGCCGCAGGAGAATTAGTGTGCTTTTAAACAATTTTACGGATATTGTAGCACAAACAATCAAATGCGCAGTAAAAGCTTAAAGTTTTTTTACCTAACAATGAAACAATATGATTTTTTGATGCCACTTGCGATAGTGATTGAGAAGATGAGAAATAGACCTTGATGAAGTGAAAACTAACCAGGATTAGGGAACTTGTCATATGCGTACAATTTCAGTGAGGCAAGATAGCATCACCTCCCACCGAAGAGTATTTGTCACTCACAGGCTCTGTTCGTCGTGTACATTATAAAAATAGAGTGGAGGTCTTGTTAATTATAGCAGGAAAGCAAGCATTTTAAAGGTTGGAAGCAAAAACCAGAAGATCTCTGGATATCTATGAAAGACAGTACTGAATATGATCCTCGACGACCCTTTCACAGGGTAGCGCTTTCTATGATTACATTGTAACATTCCATAGTAATTTCACTTTATTTTTATGGGTTTATGTCTAAGCAATTTCGAAACTCCGAACTTGACGAAGCATTATTTCTCTGTCATTAGGGGCATTCTCACTGTATAATAAACGGGATTTGTGAAAACTATAAAACAGGATGCAAATCGTTTGTGTCATCTTTGAATTGCATCCGCGGTCGCTTTGGAAGGTGTCTTTTGTTCGAAAAGTTGCCTTGCTGCGAATCCAACAGCCGGATGAGCTATTCAACTCTACAACTAAACGGTCCTTCCACTGCGTCGAATGAAAAAATTAAACAGTGAAGCCTTGATGTGTTGCAGGAGATAAGGCTTTTTTGATCACCGAGAGTTCAGGCTTAATTAAACTCCAGGGTTGGAATATATAGACATGACGGAGATGTCAGGTTAACTTTAAAAGCTGATAAATACCTTACTTGAACATTGAGGCAACTATTTTGCATACAAAATGGAGAATTCGGAGGTCCATCAAAACATAGGGCGAGTTTGGTCTTCCAGTACTACCGCTACGCCAAATATAAACCAAAAATCCACTTGTACGCGCATAATTGCAGCAAAGGCGGTTCCCAAGTTAATCTTAATTTTCGACCAGAGCCCCAGAATTGCATACACTTTGAAGTGAACGACTTGTGATCATCGTCTGCGTCGCTAACTCCACGACACAAAACTAAACACAAAGCGCAACAATTGCCAACATAAAATCTGATTTCATAAAATTCCCATTTCATATGCTCAATTTTGACCAAAACTTGCCTAACCTGAAAGTTTCACATGATCTTTTATCTTCAACAAGTAAGTAAGCTAGCATTAATTTGTGTGCAAGGAATCATTAAAACTTTATTCCATCGCGTGAAAATTAACGCATTCTTAGTTCGCCTAAAATAGTTATTTTAGCTGCCATTACGAAGTGCAAATTTTGGCACCAGAATTTCGGCTTGTTTTCCAAGAAAGCCAGCATACAAGGAAGGCTAAACTGTTTTCGTCTCCCTCATAAAAGAAGGCATTTTGATAGCTCAGTTTTTATGTGCTAGAGCTTAACCTTCACTTTTCTATGAGCAGAGGATTTGACCGAAATTGCCACTTTTCAATCGTGACGCATTCATCACCTAATTAACTGGACGGATATTCCCTTCAAATTGCATAAATTTGATCGCCAATCTTACTTAAACAGTACTAAATGCACAACTTTGTCTTTGTCCCTGCGAAGCAAAGGCAAAATCATTGTTTGATTTCCTTTCGATGGTGGTTTAGTTTTTAAATTAATATAAGTAGGGCTGCGTTTTAGTTCTTTGCAGGACAATGGCTATTTCGAAATTTTGCTTGCAGGGCATATTGAGTCGGAAGAGCTCACACAACTTATGTTGAACCCAAACCAAAGGTTATAAATGCGTAGAGACGGCCGTGGAGAGCGTAAAATACGACACAGAGATTCTGTTCATTGGAGTCCCCACACCATATATTAAAACGATGCTTCCTGTGACAACAACAGTAAACGGTATTCATTTTGTGCATGTTCAGCACTCAGATTTAGTACATGAAAATACATTTCTGATTTACTTCGGCAACTGTCCCATTTGAAGCAGGTTCTGGACAACGGAAAACTTTTGTTGGCACCCCCAACTAATATGGCCGAAATTCAAAACTTACCCGTTCTCGTTGCTACGGTTCCATTTTGACCGACAGTGGTGGGACTGATAAGCATGCATAATAAGTGTTTACAGAGGAAATAAAAATCTGGTGCAAGCAGTTTTTATGTGCAAAAATGCTTGTGAATGCCTTACTATACCGTATGGAAATGATTTTGTTGGTGATATGCCTTGTGTTTTTAGGTGAAAATTTTTTAAATGTTGAAAATTATGGCACAACGACACTTAGGGTTTGGTTGAAGAATACACAATTTCTTTATAAAACTGTAGCACAAAATGAAATTGCTTTTACCATCTGCGCCAGTGCGTATGAACATTCTTAAATTATTCAACACATTGTTCATAATCATTCTATGGCATTAAAATCGGTGTTTTTGGACCAGAATATCCACTTAAAATACAGAGGTGCGTGAATTGCAACAATTTTATGTGACTTTGCCGAATGTTCGAAGAAGTATTCTCACTTAGCAATGGATGCTTCTTAGAGCTCTGTCCCATCGTGAACTCACAATAGTCACGACTAAAGAAGAACAACAATATGCTTTGAAGGCCATCTAAAAGTGACCATTCGGTCAAACCAAAGTTTCTTCTTCTGCTCTTCGTTTGTTGCTGTCTTATTTAAAGTATTCGACAGTAAAGGGGGCTCACTTCTTCCAACTAAAGTGCAGTTTTTGTTCACTTAGACATGGAATTAGGACGTTAGATAAACGTATTATATCCGGATAAGTCGATACTTAAAATGGTCCAATTTTGTGTGAGCTAGTTGGGTGATTTGCAAGAGTTAGCATATTTTTCTGCATTGCTACTTGATCTTGGTTATTCCGACCAAGGTAGGGGAACACTATGCTGTTCTGTATGCAATACCCCCTTAAAACATAGGACCCTAATGCATCTTATGGACTTCTATGCTTGGTGTCCCGAATGACACCTGCTCCCATCTATGCTAAACATTTAGTCGATACAAGATGTCAACAAAAGTGTCGTAGCAAGTACAACGTTGTATTTCCTTCACACTTCTCGAAGCAGCACAGACGTGATTTACATGTGTGAGTAGTAACATGGGAAAATAGAAGGGTATCGTAAGTATTTATTAGAGTCAAAGAGAAAAGAGGTCGCTTCGTAAATGCTTATGTAGAGGTGAAAAGTATCTTGCAGGAACCGAGGTTTCCAATTCAGCCAAGTCGGCTAGCCGTGAGAAAGCCTTTCTTTGAAGGCTGGCGGGATGGCAAAAGTCCCCGTCTTCCCAAACGTCCACTGTGTAGGAAGCCGCGGCGGTCCATGCGATAGGGAAGAGCATTGTAGTAGTCTTCGTCTAACATATTTTCACCCACGGGGAGGTCTTCTAGTGATAACTCTTCCTCAAAGGCATTGCGGCTCGCGTAGGCAGGCGTCTGAACCAAAAATACCACAGCAGCTGTTGCAAAAACAAGAAGGCCTGAGGGTGTCATTAGTAAGTAGATGGCCCTTAACTGATGCGCTTGTATGAAAATTCGAAAATTTATGCTATCATGAGGCACGAATAAGCCAATGGGTAGCCGCGTCAATGTGCGTTAGGTCTTACCTCGCTGTGTCCTCACTCCCGGTGCACGGTGCGCTTGGATGGCAACAAATTAGATTCGATTACGAGGAGGTTTGTAGATATCCCTACGGTATCCCTCTTGCCATTATTTATTGTAGTTGATTTCCAGTTTTTGCTTATGCCATGAATATGAAATAGACCGGTTGCAAAATTATGATCAACTTAGCAAAACTGGTTATTCAGTATATTTAACTTGATTAGAATACTGGCATTATAAAATATGATGCTATTGTTGGGATTGCTGGAGGTTACTAATGAGAATATAGAAATAACTTAGCAAGTTGGTACATGTTGGAAGTAAATCAATTTGGTAACCCTATTTTTAATGCCTAGTCTTTTTATTGTATATGAATGTTTATTAAGAGATCATTGAGTCAAGGTCAGCATTTGCCAAAGTGAGTGATTCACTTAATTTTGTCACCAGTCTATGCTCGTAAGAGTTAGGCAACTTGGCTGTAGAATTGTTATAAGTTTCACATCGTCCAGAAAGTTCGACAAAAGTCCATTATTTTCTACTGACATAAGTGCATTGGTCACCGCATAAGTGATTAGGTGACCTAAATAACTGTTTAAAGGTCACGACGGCGTATCCTCAATAAACTTTACAGTTCTGTTCCAAACCCACTGTTTTCTTTTTGACTTTTTATTGCATCACCATTTTACGAAGCCAAATGTTCATTTTGACGGCTAGCACCTCGGCACAAGCGTCCACAAGCATTTTGTATTTCAGTAATCAGTGTTCGGTCGCGTCATTAAGGGGAGTTCTGTTCAGCAGTACAAACTTTATTGAAGGTGTGCATGTACTCTACATAAAAAGGTATTACAAATGTTTATTTCTAGTAATTATTCTTGTTTTATCTAGTACAGCCATTTGGGAGAGTATGGAAACACATTTTTCATAGTTTGGATAAAGCGGTTCGACCGCTTTGGTTTCGGTTGGTTAATTACGCTTAAAAAGGGTCATAAAAAAGGGGGTTTATATATGTAATGTAATGGCAAACCGTACTTTTGAGGTACCATCAATCGCCCTGTTTTCATTGTAGGGGTAATAGAAGTTGCGCTTTAAACCGCTATCCATAATAACATTTTCTTCCCTTCGAAAGGAACTCAGCTCTACGGTCCAACGTGTGCACCAATCCCACCAAGTAGGGCACTTAAGTGAGCATTTAACAAGAAACCCGGCAATTAATGGAAACTTGAAGCAAAAGAATTTTTTTTGCCTGCCCCTGGTGCTATCCACAACTGCATTCTATCCTCACTTCGCAAACTTGTCAGCGGTTCTGTTAATTTCCAGTAGTTTTTTTTTTTACTATTCTCCCTTTGATTTAAAACAAACCGCTGTCGAGCACATTAAAAATACTTGATTTTGACACCAAAGATTCATCGTTTGTTGCTGTAATGAACTTCTTATTAGGATGTAAGCATCTAGTTTTGGAGTTGCACAACCAGCATTTGCTGACATGATTTGCCAGTTCGGCCTAGTTTGAAGCTCTTTTACATTTGGCCAGAACGTGCAACAACTAATACCATGATTATTCGCTGATAACTTGCTAGTTTGTTCAATCCACGGTTTTGCCATCGAGATCGTTAGGATTTCGTTACTGTCACTTCCCTTAACGGCCTAGCCTAAGAGCCAAGTAAGAGCCGCCAAGATCCTCTGAAAGTCGGTAATATCTATCTTACCATCAAACGACTCTTCTTTCGTCCTTAAGGGGATCTGTTGATTATACATTTTTACTCCAACCATTATCCAAGACAACGAATACGTTCTATACACACTACTTAAGAAGACATGGGCAGTTCTTAGTTTGAGTTGTTGTCGCAAGAGGCAAAAATGATGACTGCTTCCGTCTCTCGTCACAATAACTTCAGACCCTATTTACTGTACCAGTTAGAGGTGATTAAGAGTTTGGGAAAATGCAAGTGGTGATGAATATTTGGGTAAACTCGCTTAAATTTAAGGGAACGGTAAAGCCTAATTATTTGCAAAGCAAGAACAAAATGGTGAAAACAATTTCTTATACGGAACATATTGGGTCTAGAATAGAAGTATAGCTAAGTTTTAATTTCGACGCAAAGCAAGTCGGATTCAATTGTACACATCTCTGCCATTGGTAGCACACCCATCCAATAAGAAATGCCGGAAATTAGATTGAAGCCAATTTTAGGAAATGCCATAATGTTATGCGACTTACAGTCCATGACTCCAGCAAATCACCGAAAATGCCTATTTGACAGTGTGCATTGGAAGTTGATCAGTAGTTCAGCCTAGGCCAGCGGAAAAGTTGGAAATCCTTCCCGTTAAGGCATAACGCCTTAGATGAGGTGTTTGCCTGTGGTGTTTTACTGAATTACCAAATTAGTAGCCAACCGCCTTAGGATATGACAATCCACTTGCTCAACCACTCGTATACAAAAAAAATTTCAGCGCAGTGAATTTAGTCTTCACCATTTTTTCCGTCATTGAACTGACGGTGTTAAAAAACGCATGCTCCTCTGGTTCCATTGGCACATTTGCGCATCACTTTTGGACGCCCAAGCGACAGCCTCAGTGTTTCCCCCTTTCACCCCAGCCTCGTTTCCTTTGAACTAGCCGACGAGTGCAGCAAGGGGATGGCTTATTGGGTAAATATAAATGAGGTCATACAAATACCATAGTTAAAGCTTTCCCCATCGTCTGGCCCATCCGATGGCAGCTGGCACTACTTCTTACACTTTTTACAATACCTCCTCCGTTTTTAGTCAAACCTCAGTTAAAGGGATTCTACATTGCTTTATCTTATAGCTTTATTGGCCAGAATGGAGAAACGCTATCGAGAGAGCTCTCACATCGTTATCGACAATGGAAACTAAGTGATTTACGGGTATATGATAAATAAATGCCTTATAAGTATGTTGGGGCTAATGGGTATTCTTCGTGGTGCAGTCAATATAATTTTCGTTGATGCATTTGTGCATGGTCTATTTAGTAACAGTGCTCCGTTTTAAATTTTGCCTTCGGAAGGTTGTAGTTGAAACCACCTTTGTTTGTATAAGTTGCATACCATACTGAGGAGGCGTTTCGATAATCTCACGTGTTATTGGAGCTCTAGGTGGGCTAGCATTTCATAAAGCAAGCTCACAGATTTTAAGGTAGAGTATTAACTGTAACTATGCTTCACCAATGTCACTAGACATCTGACTCGAGTGTCAGGAGAACCCTTTCCAGTAAGTCCCCGTGATCTGTAAGGGCTAAGCGCGTATGCCGTTTAATGTAAGTACGACTGTCAAAGTGCTAGTGCACCACTTGCTGGTGGTGTAGCGATATGTTTTGCGCTTTCGCGTCGATTTTTCTTCATTTAAAGAAATGTTACCATCGCAATGCTTCATGAGACCAAGTCAATCCGAACTCGAAATCGTAAGGCGTTTATGCACGTTAATTTTAATGAAAAACAGTTGCACATAATTCTTGCTTAAGGGATTTATGGTTCCATTGATTGGTATTAAAAGGGAAATTTTGTAATAACAACTAAACAAATGGGCGTTACGTTCCTTCACAAAACGACAACAAACGCTCCGTGACTCTCTTTATATCCTTTTGCTTATTTTACCTTCTAAACATTTACTAGGCTTTTAGAGTCACCAGCCAAACCGTCGGTTTTCCACTAATACTACTACTTATTGGTCATATTAACTTTTAGGGAAACTCCCATTTTTTAGAGCGCTGAGTCTGCCGTACAGGCGCAATCTTTTGTTCCAAATTTTTAATTCACTACAGTCAAAACTTTGCGACTGCGATTGTATAAATAAAAACGGAAAGTGTGAGTAAAAAAAATTGGCTTTCAAGAACAACCAGACGAATGCTCAGAGTTTGTGAAACGATCCAAGACCTCATCGTACAAAACTAACCTGTGCTTTAGTCAGTATGTTACGACGGGGATAGAACTGAGTTGGTTGCTGCCTAATCTTTTTAATTTCCCCTGTGTAATGGCGCAAAACAGTCACACGTGAAGTAGACAGCTGAGGGGTAAAGGGAGGTGGCCATGATCGAACTGTTTGCTCTGAGACTGAAACCATTCAATAAGAGTGTATCTGCAAGACTGAATCTCGTTAACAAAGGGTGACATTAGAATTTTTTGCAAATAAGTTCCACAAAGGTTCCAATTTTTATAACATTGAGCTTCTCTCGCCACCTTATACACGCTGACCGCAGCACGTGCACTTGCTACCGGCTCGGAGGATGTCCAGGAGTTGGGAAACAAATCGCTACAGGCAAAATTGCACAAGTTTGTAACGATTCCTATGGTGTTTTAACGAATGTTTGACAGATCAAAGTTGCTATTTTTTATGAGCTATATTTTGGCTACTGCTGCATCGGCTAAATAGGTGTGTCAACCGAACATCAAAAAGTCTGGATCTATTGGCATAGGTCGCAAGTTAGATTACGACTAACAATCATCCACCACCTTTCTTGGCTTTACGAAAGTGTGTTTTACCTAGGGACATTCGGAAATGATAATTCCTTCTTAAAAAAATTACGCAGAATTACAACTACATAAGTGCACATTCCTTATATTTTTTAAAAACCATTTAAGTGTTAAACGCTTAATTTGATCTATACACCCATTTTAGAAGCAAATCTACAAACAGTGCCTTATTCTCCAAGGCTAACATACGTTTCGCTGGATTTTTAAGACGATGGATGACTGGTACAGTCCCATCGTGACGTAAATGACATCTACGGAAACACCTTTTTGCTGGAATAAGCAGTTCAAACGAGTTCAGAAGTAGACACAGGCACAACAAGATAATTTCCCCAGATGGCAGTCTATATTGCTCCTGTCAGTTTAAGACCATCTGTCAGTCGAATACAAAAGGTCTGGGAACAAG